TAATAAATATATTTGTATTCATATCCAAAATTAAATCGCAAATATAGAGAAGAGATAAAAGAATTTTAAACATGGGTTTGTAGTGGGGGTGAGAGATAATGGGCGATAGTGGTGGTGGTAGGAGACAATAATAGTTGTGGTGGCGATAGTGGCAACGACGACGATGATGGTGATGGTGGTGGTGGTGGCGACGGCGGTGGTGGTAGTAGCGGGGTGGGGTGGTGGGGAGTGGCGATGGTTCAAAATAATATATATTTTTTTAAAGTGCTTATGAAAAATAATTTCTAGAAACATTTTTAAAAAATTACTCTAAACACACCCTTAGGGACCTATTTTTTCCTATTAAATTTAGAGTTTTAATATTAACCGTTTGATTAATTTTAAAAATAAAATTTAAAACGATCTCAACCGCGAGTAGCAAAAATTATTTTGTTTATTTTTTAAAATTTGAATTGTAAACTATTTTATTATATAGATATGATACCTAGAAGATAATCAAGTATATACGAAAAATTTAAAAAAAAAGAAACGAAAATTGACCAACTAATAGAATCTCAAAAAAGATCTCTTGAAAAATTTGTTTGTAGTAACAAAAATAATATAACAAAAAATTTAGATGAAAATTTTGAAAATGAACAAGTAGATAATGAAATAGAAGACCTCATTTAAAGATACCACCTTTGAAAATACCGCTTTTGAAAATATTAATATTAAACATAAAAGGCCTCATTTAAAGATACCGCTTTAGGCCCCAAATTATCTTGAGTCACCCTTGGTTATCGAACCTATTACTAGGACATAGGCATTCTGTTAATTTCCCAAGTGGCTTCCACATGCGGTCTTTTTGCCATGTGTTCTGAAACACGAGCTTGATTAACTTCTTTAATCATACACAACCATTTTACATCCTTTCAATAATTGAAACTGATCCTTTTTTTTTTGGTGTTGTGTATAGCAATATATCAATATTAGAAGGAAGAACAATTGATTTAAAAGTCCAAGAGGAGAAAAAAGATCCAAAGAGGAACATAATAGAATCCCAAATGGGGATATGAAAAATAATCTTTATTTTCTACATTTATTTCCAAAGGCTCGTTTAGGATCAATCTGGAATGTAAACGAGCCAAATTTTAGCTCTATTTTTAATTTATTTAAATTTAAAACCAAATTGGAAAAAACTAATATTGAATTGAGCCCAGTATAGTTGGATATCCTATTTTCAACTAAGGCAATATTCAATTGGTCAATTTTCTTCAAAGGCAGTGAGCCAATGATTGATTTTCAATGTCCTCCTTTAGAGTTTTATTATATTATATTCTCTATCTTTTGAGGGTTGTATTAGGTTGGTCCTTGTTAACCTCTTTGAGAATTGTACTTTACTTTTGTTTTCGTTCCTCTCTTTGAGAACATTCATCTCCCCAATATTCTTCCTAGTTCTCTTCATAATTCGCAATCGTTCAAACTTTATAATAACATTGATATAACATTTAATTACAAAGACAAATAAATGCCCACCTCTTATGTTTTTGTTTTTTGGGGGTGTTAATGTAAGTTGAGATTAAGGGAATAAGGGAAAAAAAGAGTACAAAAAATATTATAATTGAGCATCAAGACTCGATACACGCCAAAAGACCATGCATGTTAATTCTCAATCTAGTCTATAGAGTATAAACATATCAACTCATAGAGACTATCTGTGTCTTCTCATGAAAAACTTGGAAGAAGACTTTCATCTCATTAAGTTTTCTATGAGAATGTGTTTCATACACTTGAAGCATTTTTGTTAATGCAAGTTTTGCATGAACTAGTTCCATGGAATATTCACAGTGGATTTTTGAGCTATGAGGTGGTGATTGATCTCCAAACACAACTTTTCTTAAATTTGATTCATGAAAGAATCCTTATTGCTAATATGTACTCCCAAAAGTTCCTCCAAAGTTTAATCTCCTTGGAAAAGAAGTTGACTTTTGGAACTTAGGTTCCCATTGTCTAACACCAACAAAATGCTGCCCAAGAAACCATAGACCTATGCTTAGTAACATTGTGGCATCTCCTTGCAACTGGAAGTGAGCAATGTAGTAGCCTTCATCTAACGCTATACATTTCATTCCATCCCGACTAGTTAGTGGTAGCTATATGTACTTCCATAGGCTTAAAAAATAATAGCATTTGTCCAAAGGAGTCGAAGTCTCACTTTATCTTCTTTGGACAATGTGATTTTGAGTCATCTTGAATCATCCTCGAGTTCTTCTGAATCCGAGTCCTCTTTTTGCCATAAAGTATCACAAACCTCCCAAATAGTTTCTATGGCCAAGACATCTTTGTAAGAAAATTAGGGGGGAGGGGATGGTGGTGTATGTGTTTCAATAACTTGGTTAGTGTGTTGGCTATGGTGGTTTTGGTGGGGAGTTAATGTACAAGTTGAGGGGGAGAAAGTGGCGGTATGGCTGGGAGAATGTGGAGGTTTTGGTAAATGGTTTGAGGCATGGGAATGGGACACAATCTTGTGGCTTTCTCTAGTGGCTTGTTTGGTGCTTCGACATCCATGGTTGAGAAGTTTATGTTTATGTGCACTTGGGTCTTTTATCGAACAATGTGGTGTGCTATTAGTCTTATAGGCATCGCACAAGCAAAGAAGGGAACAAAAGTAAATGAAAAAAATGATAGAGGAGATGAGAATAGGGTTTATTGAGCTGTTGAATTAAAACTAATGGTTGCTATTTTAGGGTGTTGACTTGATGCTTCATTAAGCATAATTTTGTACAAACATCATACTATGAATTAATATATGTGTGCATTAGTATATGTATGAGTGTTGGTGATTGCCAAAGAAGTGTAAGAAAGAAGAGAGAAATTGGCATGAACAGAGTGCGATGAAAAGTCAGGAAGATAACCATCTGGAAACTCATCCGATTGACTAGATAAGTATCTGAAAGAGGTCAAAAACTTTTTGGAAAATGGCCAAGGTTGAAAGGAAAGGAAGAGAATCTGGTATACTGGATAGGTGTTACCCCCTTAGCATTTGACTTGGCGTTGGCATGGGGCAGCCTCGCCCAAAGGCGCCCATGCCTTAGCCAAATTGAGTTTCACTTGAGAAAGCAAACCCTTGGTGCAAAAGATGTTTCCTAAAGGACTTAGACTTGTATTTTGTTGGGATAAAATGGTTTGGTAAAGACTCCAACAGCATCCAACGACTATGCCCCAGGTTTAGGTTGTTTATGTCCAGTGTTGTCACTAGGGTTTTACTTCATAACACTATTATAGGGGGGTGCTCCGCGAAGAGGTGCCAGACTAACTTCCCTAAGGACCCCTATGCCCCTAAGTCTTGGCACATGGAAACAAGGCATGCCCCCAACAAATGCTTGTCATGGGTGGAGGTAAGGCATTCTAAAGTCCAAGACCTGAAATGGGGGATGATGATCTGAGGGAACCCGTCATTGGTGAAAATCCCACGCATGGCTGAGGGAGGCAGCGCATGCATAGGCACGTTAGGCATGACTAGTGGGTGAATTGAAGACCCATGCATTACTTAGTGATGTAGTTCATGCATGTGTATGATTGGATGCAATCAATGGGTGATTGAAGCCCCATGCATGACTGGGCGTAGCAGCTAATGCATGGGCGCGTGGGCACAAACAAGCATGCAAGCAAGGCTAGTCGAGTGACTCAATTTGTGGGGCAATGCTAACTTGGAAGACCAAGCCATGAGCTGAGCATGGCTAGACACGAAGATAAGGCTAATCAGGTGTTGTGGGCTCGTAAGGAAGACAGGTGCACAACATGTGAGATGGTTTTGAACGGTTATGACATGTGCCCTACAGATGGTGGCGATTCCAGATGGTTGTTGGCATGTGCGTGGTATGCAGAGGTGATTCTGTACATAATGTTGGCATGTGTAGAGCATGAGAGTTGCTGACATGTGCACTCAGCATGCACAGCAGTTGAGGGCAGTTGCTGTATCCCGTATATTGGAATGGCCATCTAGAAGACTAGTCTGAAATGCTGGACACCATATCTCTAAGTTTTACTAGTTCGATGCTAAAATTTTTATTCTATTAACTTAGGGTATCTTTGGTCTTGACCCAAATCCAAACCATTCCTCAAATTTAAATTTGTGTAAAACTAGATTAAAATTAATGTTCAATCCTTTATTCAAACTTATATTAAATAAAAGAAGACTTAAATTTATAGAATACCCAAATCTTTATTCAAATTTTAAATAATCACATTCTACTTTTTTTAAAAGATCCTCAACCAAACAAAGAAGAAGAAAAAATTACGTTCAGACCTCTTAAAATTTGTCACTTAATCATTTAGAATTCTTGATATTTGAAATATTATATATAAATCCCTTGAAATTTGTATGCGCGTAACACTTAGACCTCTGCCGTCTATATCCGTTAGTAAATTCGTTAATAAATTATACATAAAATTCCTGAAGTTTGTAAATATATACTACTTAGACTCCTCAAATTTAAAATATTACACTTAGATAATTGATTAGTTACAAGACTAACGAAATCTATTAAACGACCAATTTATCTTAATTAAAATTAGAAGATATTATATCTATTACGGTTTGACCTCTTATTTGATTTTTTAGTTTTACTTTAACAGATAGTATAAATGTATACTAGTTTATGATTTTTTTATATATAAAAAAATAATTTTTTTAAGAAAAAATAAATTTTGATTTTTGATTTTATTTTAATAAATGACATAATAGAACATAAATTTTAATTATAAAATTTAAAATATTTGATATTTTATCTTTAATTAAAATATTTTTTATCTAAGTATAATATTTTAAACTTAAAGAATTTAAATATTATATGTCTAAAAATTTTAGAGAATCTGAATATAATTTACTAAAAGATAAACTAATTGACAGAGATTTAAGTGTTACAAAAATATAAACTTTGGGGTATCTATATATAATATTTTAAATATTAAGGTGTTTAAGCGACAATCATCAGTTATTGTGTAATTATATTTCGTAGCATCTGTCTCACTCTCCAACCTTCGTCTTTCTATATGTTATCTGACGCCCCCTCCCGGAAGGTTTCCACGGATCCTTGATTACTTCTCTTAGTAGGTACGATTGGCTCACAACTCCTTTTTTTTCCGTTCGCTTTTTATTAATCGATTCTCATTTAGGGTTTGAAAATAGTGGAAAGATTTGAGATTTAGCTTGTGTTTGTTCTATAGTATTTTTCATTTTCTTAGCTGCAAATCGGTGACTGTCTTAGGAACATCACGACGTATTGAGACCTGAAAAACTATGGGTATCAATTGTAGTGAATAACAATCTTGAAACTCGGGCTTCAATTTTTACTTTTTGCGTTTGGGTTTTACTTGTACGGGCTACTCCTTGATTGTTTAGGATTCTGCAAGAATTATCAGGTTAGTTTTTTTCTAATTTTAGCCACCATTTGAGATCCTTGATTCAGTTATCTTTCTGTGGCTCTGAACACACAGATACCCATGAATGTATACAAATTGATTGAGATCATTTTCATACACACATGGATGATCTACCATTGATTGAAAGTGTAACGAAGAAAATCTAAATCGGTATACACATACACACACACTTATCCAGAGTGATATATGTCGTGGTGTGCAGGATATGTTCCTAGATAAAATTTGTTGGCGACGAATGATATGTCTAGATTCTTGACAATTGAGGGAGTTAGGAATATAACATTAGCTGGCTGAGGTACCCATCGTCTTTCTTAATTCTTCTTACTTCAACTAAACAAGAAGTTACCAATCGGCATTATTTCTGTTTGGGCTTCATATGTAATAAAATGAACAATGGAGCTTCTAGTGGTTGTCTATTGAGGTGTAGCCGTGTAAGCAATATTAAGTCCAGGAGTAAAAGAATGTGAAGTTAAAATGCTTCTCTTGTGAGTCATAGCTTTTTGTCCCTTACTACCCTGACAAGCCCTCATCAATGGGGACTAAACTAACTGCAGATATATTTTGTGACACTGAGACATGGATGAAGAGTAATGTGGGGCTTAACCTTTTGAAACTCCAGGGAGGTTTTATCCGCAAATGACGAGAACATCTGAAAAGTAGAAGAATAGGAAGTGTATGGGATTCTTTTTTGAATGGCTCATTTCTTTCCCCTCTCGACTCACTTTGAGGTAAGACAAACAGGGTATCAAAACACCTTCCTAAAACTACGGTTGTAGTTCATGTGGAATCAACACAACATTTGGAAATTTTAAAAAATGTTAAAATGCAATGTTAAGGTAGTAAAAAAGGCCATATGGCAGTCTACTACAGTATGTTTAGCAAAAAACTATGAGGTGTGTCAAGAGATGCCCCCATTACACACTTCTGTTAGTTTTAATCTTTGAGGGGTTCAATTATAGACCTGAATTGGTAACACTTTTGTTATGCAGGGTGTTGATTTTTTGCACATATATTGCTTTCATGAAACATTCAGGTTCACCCTTATCTTTGATATTAAATGTCCCAGTACCATTTAAAACAACAAACATCAGAGCTGGTTTAGAAATCTCCAACATCATGGTTTTGGATTAGTATATTTTTTTTTTTGGTGGGGGGGGGGGGGGGAATGAAAGACTATAAAATTTAATATTTCAACCAACAAATAGCTATTTTTTTAATCCTGCCAAATTTTATTTAAAATATAGTTAAAATACCATTTTTGAAAGAAATTGCATACCACGGCTAGTTGGGACCTTGGGGTTCCATGTTACTCCTATAAGTGGTTCTCTGCCGTTTCACACATAATCTTTTAGTTCTAGTAACATGTATTTTATCTAATATATTCAATCTTGGGTTATTTAATAATAGTGAAAAGTTTTCTGCAAACCACATGAATGGATATGAGGAATGTGGATATTGGGTCATCTAATTTCGTTTTTGATTTTTTATTGCAGGATGTGTAGGTTTGCTTCTTGACTGTTGACAAATTGTTATTCCGGAAGTAATTGAGGAGGTCATAGTCACAGTTGGAACATCTTAAACTGTAGCACATTTCCTATCATTCTAGTCAAAATTTTTGTGCAACACCTTGCCCTTTTGCATTTATCTTCTTTCTCGTCCTTTGTGATCCATGGGAACCCCAGAGACCTCTCGTGAACCTTGTCCCGACCGTATCCTCGATGACATCGGTGGTGCATTTGGCATGGGTGCTGTTGGAGGCTCAGCTTTCCACTTCCTGAAAGGCATCTATAACTCCCCTAAAGGTGAGCGCTTGATCGGAGGATCTCAAGCAGTGCGCATGAACGCACCTCGAGTTGGTGGTAGTTTTGCTGTCTGGGGCGGCCTCTTCTCCACTTTTGATTGCACAATGGTCTATGTCCGCCAAAAAGAGGATCCATGGAACTCGATCATTGCTGGTGCTGCCACTGGAGGCTTCCTTCAAATGCGTCAGGGATTGGGTGCTGCTTCTAGATCTGCGGCATTTGGTGGGGTATTACTTGCCTTGATTGAGGGAGCTGGAATCATGTTGAATAAAATTATGAGTGCACCACAGAATTTTCCGCAAATGGAAGAGCCAATACCCAACGTGGCTGGTGTGCCAGGATTTCCAATGGGTCAACTGCCTGGTCAAGCACCGGTTCATGTTGAGAGTATGGGAAGTGGATCATCAACGTCATTGTCATCGTCATCGTCATCATCTTCATCCTCATCCTCATCCTCTTCCTCCTCTTCTTCTTCTTCATGGTTTGGAGGGCTCTTTGGTGGTGGAAAGAAGCAGGAGACAGGTACAAGCAGTGGAAGCAAGACAGAGGTGTTGGAGAGCTTTGATGCTCCGACCCCACCATCATTTGAGTATAAATGAGATGGGCAGTCCATGTGGTAATGTGGTGAGAGAGAATTTCTTGCTACGTGTTTCTTAAAAGTATGATATTTTTTGAATTTTGACCGGATGGCTCGGAAATTATCTCTTTAATTAGTGTGGAGCGATCTTTGTTATTGTCACATGAAACCTAAATCAATAGCTATTTGGTGTTTTATATTCTATTGAGTTGCAGTTTTTATATTTCCTGCATTTCAAATTAAACAAAACAAGCATGTTTGAGTATTTCGTTCTCATTGTGTTGTAGGTGTCTTCTTTTACACTAATTATAATACTGCATGAAGACTGTTTGTTCGGCGCTGTCATAACATTCTGTGTGCACCACTTATTGGTTTCAGAGAAATATTTTAGAATTAAAAGAAAAACATTTTTGAAGACCAATAGTGATTCTTATTTAAGTGCAAATCTGGAATACAGTCTTTTTGGGTGTATGGGGTGCTCTTATACATCTGATCTGACAGACTTGCATTGCAAACAGAGTTGGTGTGGCAGACATTAAATAGGTAACACAAGGGTCCTTGACTTGGCTAGTTGTTTAGTATGAAAGCTGTGTATAGGCTTGGTAACAAGAGTTTGGATGTTAGTTCATTTATTAGAGTATTAAACTTGTTAGTTGTGCTTTATTCTTTCAGGTTTGCTGGCATTTTTTACAATGTGTTATGCTGTATACTGATTACTTATGCTGACAACCACGATTTCAACAAGGCGAATTGACATAACTATTTTTGTGGAATAGAGATAGAAAGATAGAGGGGGTCACAGCTTCCAATTAGGGTTTAGTATGAAAGCTGTGTATAGGCTTGGTAACAAGAGTTTGGATGTTAGTTCATTTATTAGAGTATTAAACTTGTTAGTTGTGCTTTATTCTTTCAGGTTTGCTGGCATTTTTTACAATGTGTTATGCTGTATACTGATTACTTATGCTGACAACCACGATTTCAACAAGGCGAATTGACATAACTATTTTTGTGGAATAGAGATAGAAAGATAGAGGGGGTCACAGCTTCCAATTAGGGCTTTTGGCAAATGAATTGGTTTCTGTTACCTTGAGCTGATCCTGTGATTAGATTCAGGGCTTGTGAATGTATTCTTAGCCCGGTCCTTATGCCTATTTACCTTTGAAAGCCCAATCTGACGTGGTGTGTTTTTGGTTCAATTTAAGCTATGTCTTGGTCAACTTTAATTTGTATATTTTACTATTGGATAAGAATTAAAGAATTGATGCCTTTTCCCTGGGTATATTATGAAAGATGATTTTATGATAAAGTAGACTGATAAAAAATAAATAAGTCCTTGCATGTGGTTATACAGTGTATTTGATGGGCTATTTTGGATTTTGATGACAAGGCTCTAACTGTTTTATCTATAGGCTCCTGGTGTAGGCTTGATTTGGTTATGGATGTTGTGCTGCTTAAACGTGCAGGGGTGTTATACTGTAGTGTTAGTTCTTCATGTGGGTTTTGTCGAGAGCTCAGAACCACTTTCTCTGCTCCAATTATTTTTCCCATTCTCTCTCTTTCTTTCTGTGCTTGGTTCCCTTCTTTGTTAACAAGTTGAACCGAGATTGATATGCTAGTTAATCTATTGTGTTCAACTGTGTAGGGAGCATATGGGTGATATGGAAATAGGCCTTGGTTGCTGAGGTCAAGTTTTCAGGCCACAGAATTATTTGATATCCTATCGAGAGATTGGAAGTCGCCACTGCATTCTGAATCACTTCGGGTTAACTTCCTATCCTTTCCTTCCTGTAATTGCTACTGGAATTTTATGTATCAAAGGAATAGAGTGCAGACTGCTGTTGCTGCTGACTTATATGCGATTTGTAACGGCTGTTCTGGGAAGCTAAGCAGGTATTTTAGACAATTCAAATGCTGGCTAAACCGATTACATATAGTTATTTGTAGACTTCAGGTTTATGTTGAGAAATTGATCGGCTTAGGTTGGTAACTTGGAGGCTTTTATGGAGTGGGTGTCAAGGTTCAATGGTCTTAAAAGAAGTTAAAGCTAATCCATAGCAGCCAGATTGCTTTTTAAAAGCTATGAGATGCTTTATTAAATTGGGCGAATGACATGACAAGTCTTTTTCAAACCTTACCATTTGGGGGAATGACATGACAAGTCATTTTCAAACCTTATCATTAAGGATGTTACGACGATATACGAGAGAAATGGTGGAGAAAAACTGGGAATTGAATTCATTGTATGAGATATATATGGGAGGAATGGAGAAAAAGTGGGAATTGAATTCATTCTATGATCTATTGTATCTCTTCTCGAGATGGGAAAAAAAAAAAAAAACAAACAACACACACCACACTTCTCTAGCTTTCCACTGAAATAAAGGAAAAAAGTCATTTGAGACATGTTTCAATTTATCTCCAAAGTTCAACCTATTGTTTTTATTTTTAATTTTTTGTTTGACAAAAGACATAATATAAGGATTTATCGGGTCATTTAGAAAATTGAGGCCTATACTGAAACTCGTGTTAAAGTTTCGGGGATATCTATGATAATAATCTAAACTTTTTAATGACTAAATAATGTTAAGCTTAGAGAATGCTTTATTATCATTTAGGATAAAATACACTTTTAATCCCCAAAGTATGCGTTTATTGTTTATTTGGTTTTCAATCTTTTAATTGTGTCTATTTGATCATTGAGGTTCATAATTTGTATTTAAGTAGTTCAATCAAAAGTTTGCCAGAAAATTGTGATAGTTATAGTCACGAGCTGATCACATGATTCTTAATATTGTATCTATTTAGTCTTAAAGTTCTTAATTTGCGTTTATTTAGTCTCACATGATTGATGCGTGATTAGAGACGTTAACGATTTTTGACGAACGTTTGGGATTGGACCCATAGATATAAATTAAAAACTTTAAGGACTAAATAAACACAATTGAAATATTATGGACCAAATAACCACTACACATAGGGAAGGCAATAGATCGGGGGCAGGGATAGTCTTTATCCCCGTACCGGCTTCAAAACTATGCTGGAGAAATTTTAATTCCCGTCCCGCAGGTAAATTCTGATTCTCGTTTCTATTCATATACATTTATCGTCTAATACGTATGATACATTCCTAATTTAAACACGATAGATTTAGACGAATATCCATTTTTTTTTCTTAGTCTGCAATCATCCCTAATTACACAACTAAAAATATATTTTGCCCTATTATTTATCATATCTACACTGTTATTTATCATATCTTGTGGGTGTTGCCTTTGTGGGTGTTTCTGAGTGATTGTGTGTTGTTTGTGTGGGTTATTTTGAACGTGGATGTTTCTGAGTGCATTTGTGGTGTTTGTGTGGGTTATTTTGAACGTGGAGTGGGTATGGTGTGTGTTGCCGATGATGGGTGGTGGGGTTCAATTGCTAAATTCATGGTGGACTATAGTGTTGGTTCAGTTGGTCTTTTTTTTTTTTTAATTCAAACAGAAGTTGTTCTAATCTAAATATCAAAAACCTGTGGGTTTTTCCATTGTGATTATGTACACAATCCAAGAAATAAAATATAAATATTAATTATTCATATCTGAAGGTTAGTTTTTTTTCCAACCTTCAATCTGATTTTTTTTTTAAGTTTAAAATAAGTATTGTAGATAGAAAATAATTTTTTTATAATTTTTTAAATAATATTATATTAGTTGTTATTAAATTAAATAATTTTTTATTAACACAAATCTAACACGTACCGAAGTGATACGACACAACAATAATATGATCAAAAATGACACGACACGACACGTTTGACATCTCCGATGATAAGCATGAAAAATATTCTCCTTTATTGGTGTTGAGTACCGGCTGTTTGTGATAGCTTGGAATCTAATAAACATGGAAAATTTTCTCCTCAAGTATGATGATGGATCCCTTTTTGGCCTATAGAAAGAAAGAAAGAACATGGCATGATCGAATGAGTTCAAGCAGCCATCTCCATATTGTTGTGTTCGTCAACTCAAAATCGGTATTGTATTGAGCAAATTAATCATAGGGTAGTAATAGGGTGGGTGGGTCTTTGTTCCCCGACTTTATGTCATGTAATTTATTTATAATCCTAGATATCTAAATTTGTTTTATATATATTTATAAATAGAGTCAAGTTTCTAGTGTGTGTAGAGGGGCGGAGCTAAAATTTTATTATAAAAAGGGTCAAATAATTGTATAACTCTTAAATTTTTACATATATATAATTTATTAAAATTAATTTCACACCGATAATTGTAAAATGTATACATTTTCAAAAAAAAAAAAATCGACAAAACTTCATTTAATTATACTTTTTACTCTTAAACAAAGACACTAATTTCAATTTACTTCAAAGTTCATCATTTTGTGCAAAACTAAAATTAAACAATTTGTCCAAAATGTCATAATTGAAATATCGAGGTAGCTTATCTATTTAAGGAAGTGAAAATCAGCGGTGACTTAATAGCTTTGTAGATTGTTGTTAGTCCATTAAATTGCGAGTTCGAACTTTATCATCATTTTCCTCCTCGTAAAAGTTTTAAACAGTGACCCAAAAAAAAAAAAATTTATGGGAGTTTGACCGGTCAATCAATTATGGTATGGACTTGTTAAGGTTAAGTTCATAACTTATAATTACATGTGGAACTTTACACTACAATGATGAGTGGTGTAAAGAATTATTGCCGGTTATAGTCCTTTGAAGCATCATTCTCAAAAAAGGTAATTATGGAGAATTGTCTTTCTTAAAGAAAGTCTTTATCTCTTTTAAGAGATAATTTTCATTCAAAGAGTATCGTAAGTATTAGTCTCTCAATATGTGTAATTGTCAATCAGAATCCACACAAGAAGTCGACCCATATCTAAAACTTGAATACTGTTCATGCAATCAATGAAAACTCATCCTACTAAGTAAACTAAAGCATCGTTCTCTTCAACTCTATTTCTCTTGTTTGGGACCTGGAGGAACGCTTTATTATGAAATAACCTAAGATTTCAAACCAGATATTTACAAGATGTATCACTTGCCCTTTGAACCCATAATTATTCGTGTGGGTGATAATCTTTAACCCGGCATAATAACATTGTTCGATCCCGACACAAAGTTGGTGTATTCAAGTTGACAATTTCTCGACACATATCTTAAAATGATAGGACCTATTAACACAAATAATAAATAGGTCGGATAAGTGTTAAATACGAATAACTTGAAATTTACACAATTAACATATTTAACTAGTATTTTTATAAATGAAAAGTTGAAATAATATTATTTTTTATTAAGTATTGACAGGAATACTTTGCAAAATAAGTGATTTTTTACTTCTAGTTGCTATTATATGAATTTGGTTATGATGTTGCCCTTTTGGAAAAGTATATGAATGCTAGCTAGTACAATAGCATTAGCCTCCAAATTACACTTCCCCCCACGAGGTTGGCCCTTTGTTTCTCTGGTTGCATCTGGCAAGTGATTGTGTGTTTGTCCATTTTGTACCATACACTTGTCTTTTCTTTTTTGGGAAAATTTTATCTACACCCCCTCTAAATAAATCTATCTTTAACGACACCTCTTTCCTTATTTGAAAATTCATTGACCCCCTTTGAGGCTCTGTCAGTTTTGGTTAGCTAACAGACGTGACGAAAACATACGTTTTACCATTTTACCCATGAATTTTATAAAGATTTACATATTCACCAACTATTTTTCATTAAACTATATATAAATACATATTCCTATTTTCTATATACGTATATGTATGCATATGTTGATAATATTGAGAGAGAGAGAGAGAGACCAAATGTTAACCCCCTGATTGAAACCAGATATTCCCCCATCCATTTTTTCCTCACCACCTTCTTCACCATCCACCTAGCCATTTTCATCTCCTTCCCCATCTCCCTCATCTATATCCCCATCACCTCACTTTTTCTTTCCCAACCACCAGTAACTCCCTCCTCACGGCCACACTAGCCGTTGTTTGTGAGATCGAGAAAAATAGAGAAATTGGATGTATAAATGTAACGGAGAAGAGAGACATAGAAAGAGAAACAAACTAGTTTTTCAAGACCATCACCGCCATTGCATGCACACACCATCGCCGCATATGCCCACCACTAGCACTGCCCTTCAAATCTGGTTCGTATATAAAACATGGCCAATTTTGCATTTGTGATTAATAGGTGATGTGGATTTGGGTTTAGTTGTTTTGATTAGCAAAAGAATGAAATTTTTTTGGGGGGATTTATGGGATTAACGGTGGGTTTGTGATGGGGTGGTGGTTTGTTGGTGTGGTCCCCAATTGAAGTCACACGAGTATACAACTCACATGAAACTCATCGGAGATGGAGGCTTTGTTAGGCACAATTATTGAAATAATTATTAATTCTTAATCATATTCACCTTCCTGGAAGTAGAGATTTTTAAAGCTTATTGACTTTGACTAGTATGTCATGAGCAATGCTGCATGAACTTAAAAAATAGACTTAAAAATTAGGTTTGATAATTTCAACCATTGATTTCACTGTGAGTCCCAGCATTTATTGGAACTCACTACCTATTCAATGATTGAGATTATTAAGTCTAATTTTTAAGTCCATGTAACATTACTCATTTTACAAACTTCTTTAAATGAAACAGATGTCATATTCTTGAAATTTGAGCAGTTGATTACTAGGCCATACAGTAGTGGCTTTCAATTCCAAAATCCTTCGAGCTCCACCTTCGATTGTACTCGGATCAAAGTTTAAGTTAGAGTATCAAAATTTAGTAGTTTGCGTTGTTGATTTGGGGCGTACACATACTCATTTCTAGTAAGGACACTATCAGCAATTACTCAAATCCATTGATGGTTATACATACAAGAATCAAACTTTGAGAAGAGCAAGTACAAAGCAACTATCTCCTTTGTGTTCACAAATAGTAGCTTATGCTTTTGTTGGCAACAATGACGGGTATGCATAATGCATATGCTAGTTTCATAACTGTGACAATGGACCAATGGCTTGGGTTCATTGCCATGGTGGTTTTGCAGCTAGGCAATTGGGTTGTTGAGGCATGAGAGAGGGAGAGGTGAAACAAGGGTTTCTTGGAGAATAAGAAGGGTAAAATTGGTATTTAATAAACATTTTTGTATGACATCAACACTTTTCAAATGGTTAGTAACGGGTGGTTACGATAGGAGGTCTAGGTGAAGAGGACATATAAATTAGAAGGAAGTGCATTGAAATTTCAGTAAAGGAAATGGATGTCGTTGAAGATAGACCTATTTAGAGGGGGTGTTAATGAAATTTTTCCATCTTTGTTTTTTTACCTTCTTGTAAAAGGGTGATCAAGAACAACCATTTGTAGCAATTCTTAAGACGCCATTTTGTAATTTTTATTCAAATATTCGGTTTAAGTTATAATTATTGGTTTGAGATGATCGAGCCCGTCATCACAACATTATCGACGACAAACTAAACATTCAACTCCTCCAACAATATCTGAATTACAATAATTATTACCGTAACCAAATTCAAACTCATAACTACCGGAGGATGGTGGGACTATCACCCTCTACAAAAGCCACCTAAACTACCATCTCGGTGGTCCATACACTTGTCTTCAAGGTCCCTGTTAGCTGCAGTCTCTCGACCTGTTTTGCAGCCCCAAAAGCACATTAAATACGGTATCTCCTCCTGTGTTTATCTGCCTTTCCTCGGGCTTCCAGTCACTCAAAGCGCAACAGGACATTGGAGATTTTTTTTTCTTTTTTTTTTTAAATTGCGGTTAGTTGTGTCCGGATTTACTAAAGTGCACTTTGATTAATTTATTTTCCGATCTAATTAAAAACACATTATCCACGTCAGACTATGAAATTAATAAGAGATAAATTCTTCGTGACATGATCTAAAAAAATTTATCAAATTTTAAACTTAAGATGTCTAGATAAAACTTGTCTTTGTCACTATTAGGCAACCCCTTGGCGATGAAGATTTTTTTTCACCAGTCAGGTAAGCATAATTGTTTTTTAATTGTATGGAGACGTGACAATTCTAAGCTTGCGAATTCGATGATATCTCGATACAAAATTCATAAAATTTTAGATTATAATAGATTGAAGATATAAAATTACGTAAGAGTTTGAACAATAACACATACATTCCCAGACACAATGCATGTGAATTAATGGTTGACCTAATAGCTACCAAAACCCGCTGTTGAACTGTTAAGTCACGAGTTTGAACTTAACCCAAAAAATGAATACAATGAGCAGAAACACTCCAATTTCTAAGATGAGATTCTTAACAAACACTTTTAGCTATAAACAATGTTTGATGGTTTTTTTTTGAATTTTTTTAGCCATAATTAACAATTGGCTAGTTTAGAATTAGTCCTATAATTACGAAAATTTTCATATTTTCAACAAAATTATTAGATTTGAATTTAATCTTATATGATGAACAGATAAACCTAAAAAACTTGTCAAACAAATGAGTTGATACGAATTTGATTAAAAAGGACACAAATTCGTAAAGTAATTTATATATAACACGAATCCAATTATGCATGATGCATTCAATACGAATTGAACATATTTTAGGGTTAACTGCACTAGAGGTCCTCAAAGTATAGAGTTTATCTTATTTTGATTTTTAATATTTCAATTGTATCATTTGAGTCCCTGAAATATTAAATATATTTCTATGTGATTCCTAAAGTAAACAACATCTAAATTGCTAATGATTTTTTCTTATAAACTTGTCATGTGGTATCTAAATATGGACAAAAAATAATTTGGGTAGCTCTTGACCATAATTTGGATAACTCTTGATCATAATTTGGATAACTCTTGATCAAAATTTAAGTAACTCTTGACCAAAAATATGTAATATGAGTAGCTCTTGACTAAAATTTATATACTATGAATCATATGACTCTTAATCGGGTTGTCTTCCCAAGTCTCGCTGGTGTTACCTGTAGGTCAAGATGTGCCTTAAGATGGCTGTCTCTTGTCCCCAATGGGGAATATGCTCCCAAGACGTTTTATGATCAAAACTATGTAATTTGACTTCTCATGATTAAAATTATGTAATTTGAATAGATCTTTAATTAAAATTTTAGTAAAAATTTAGTCAAGAGTTATATAAATTATTTTTTTTTCTCATATTTAAGTATTACATAACAAATTTATAATAAAAAATTATTAGTAATCTGGGCGCTGTCTGTATAAGGGACCACATAAAAATATATTTAATGTTTCAAAGATTAAAATAATACAATTGAAATATTGGGAATCCAGTTCAAAAAAAAAATAAAAATATTGGGAATCAAAGCAAACAACATACTGGTGGACTTTTAATGCAATTAATCCCAAATTTTAATACAATTCAATTTAAATACACCACGGATCCGACAAAAAGACAAAGACCTCCCTACCCAGATTAGTATCTAATAACTCTCCCGAGAGTAAAAGCTTTAATTTTTGTTTCCCGCAAGTAGCAAAGAGTAAAAACTTGAGTATAATTGAGAGCATACATGACTACTTATCACTAGGCTATCTCTGAGGGAGAGTCATCTCTTCCATGTTCCAATCACTCTACATGAAATATTCTCTTTGTTTCTCTCTCTAGAACAACAGAGATAGCCGAGAGAGAGAGAGAGAGAGAGAGAGAGAGAGAGATAATGGTGAGTGTTGCGGAACAAGATTTTCATCTAGAGGTCTGTGAATCAGGCTTGGAGAATCAGAAGGTTGCAAATGCAGATTTGGATGATGATCAAAAGCCCAAACGAACAGGTATTCTCTCTCTCTCTCTCTCTCTCCTGATCCATCTAAAAATTGAGCCCCTTGCATGTGTGTTTTCTAAACTCTGCGTCATCATACTCCAAAAGTACGTGGTTATTCTGACTGCAGTTTTAATCTCTCCCTCTTAAATCTCCGATCTTTGTTCTTCATGTTTGGTAAAATACCAAAGAGGACCAAAAGAGCAGCTTGAATTGTAAAATTTCTGGTATTTGTAGCCTTAACAAATCATTACTTCTGCTGATCCCTTTAAGAAATACATGTGATCTCATTTTTCAAATAGAAAGAGTTGTTAGATTCTGATATAAGATGATATATTTTCGCTTGAATTTATTAATTCTCAATGGCTGAGTTTAATCTTTAATAGCCCGAGGTCTTGGGTTTAATCCCTTTTTACACTCCCTAAAGACTAGACACCCTCGTTCCTAAACTAACTCAAATCACGGTGATAAACCTCTAAGTTCGAGATAGGAATCAGCACAAATTTGGGCATATCAAAAACAGAAAAAAGAAAAAGCTCATACTTGGGAACAGCTGGGTGGCAAATGACCTCAACAATTTTGGAAGTTACTACACATTAGCTCTAGGCTTTTGAGAAAAGGAAGATTTTTTTTTAATTAATGAGATATATATAATCTGTAGCGAACGAGGTGAGTGATGGTCATTGCTCATGGAAAGGCCAAAGCATAAAGTTGAGAATGGATACTATCATAAATTTGGAAAAGAAGAAAAGCCAAATAAAGAAAAAACATTTATTTTCCTTTTTTTTCTTAAACGGACAAACCCTTCAAATCACGTGCGTTTTAGGATTTGCAGCTACGAAATTAAAATGAGTAATGATAAATGATTTAAAAATTAAATTTAAAAATCACAACCATAGAATAGTTGGTAGGTTCTAATAAATATTAGAATTCACAATAAAATCAATGATTGTGATTATCAAATATATTTTATAATTTCACGTAGCATTGTTCAATTAAAATTACATTGTGCTCAACGAACCTAGCCCCAAACGTTTGGATAGCCAGGTAGTCGAATTTGAGATATTAACTCTAAAAGTCTTCCTATTCAAGCTATTAATAAAGAGTGAATGGAGTTTGGTGACTACTCTCAAAATGTCCATAATACCCTTTTACTTATTACCAAATAATTTCTCAAAATTTCTTTTTTGACTCCACTACTCATAAAATGTTAATATTACTCTTATTACCCTTCATTTATTTTCAAATAATTATGAGCTCCATTTTTAACTCTATTCAACTGCCTATTTTCCACTTTCACATGAGTTATCATGTGTGCATGGCGTCTAGTAACAGAGAAATTGAACATAGGTAATGTCAAGGGATAGTTTAAGTAATAATAGGGACGAGTTGTAAACTCAGATGTCATGAATATGAATCTTAGCAACCACATAGGGCCAAGCCAAGAGGATCATGAATACCCTAATCTCGGCGTGGATGACCTGCCTTTTATCAGATCGAAAAAGAGTCTAGTCGAGATGCACGTAAGTTAATCTAAACATCCCTAACTATTGAAACAAAAAACAAAGAAATGAGAACATGGGTCCCTCCCCTCAACTTGAAGCTCATTTACAATAAGCTGATGAAACCTTTTCAAATTCTCAAAGCGCCTAACCTTAACTATTAAACAAGCATTAATATCCTATTTTGTATTTACATGCAGGGAATGTTTGGACTGCAAGCGCTCACATAATCACAGCTATTATAGGTTCTGGAGTCCTCTCACTGGCTTGGGGTGTGGCACAGCTCGGTTGGGTCGCCGGAGTCACCACTCTCATGGTGTTTTCGGGCATCACATTATATACTTCCAATCTCTTAGCAGACTGTTATCGATCCCCGGATCCAGTCACCGGCCGGAGAAACTACTCTTACATGGAAGCTGTCAAAAACAACTTAGGTATTTCATTGAATGCATAACCATAGCATAATTTTACTGAGGCTCGGCATTTAGCCCAGCGGCCCGCCAAGCCATTGGCCTAATTAGTAAGCCCATGGGCCATTATTTCAGTTCCAATTAAGGTTCACAAAGCCAACCTTTAGGTACTCACATGGGCCGACTAATTAGGGGAATAAAATTCAAAAAAAATAAATATATAGGTTCTATTTGGTTTGCATCTCTGAAATTGCTTTCTGATTTTACCAACAGTTTTTAAGAAAAAAATTGTTTGATCAATTATTTTTTGTTTTTATTTTTTGAAAACTAAGAACAAAAACTGAGTAGATCTATAGAAATTTAGAAAACACTATCATCACCATACTTTCACCACCACCATTCTTCTACCAAGTTTTACTGTGTTTCTATTTCGTATAACTATTTTTTGAATTATATAATTATATAATTTCTATGACACAAAAAATATCAAAGCACATTTTTCTAAAAAAAATTTCAAATTTTTTTTTAAGTACTATTTTTTTAGACTCAAACCAAACAAGACCTTAAATTTTGTTAACCCAAATTTTGGCCAGCCTTGTGACGGCCCATAGAACTAGCTCAATTGACTAGTCATGGGCCGTAGATTTTTTGGTCGGGCAGGTTCGACCCAACTGCCCGATCTTTGTCTTCTCGCGTACATTACCTAGAGGCCCGGCCCGGTTCGTTCTTAACACTTCAGGTGTTACTTTACCCTAAAATACATATTGTTACATGACTTTTGATGAGCTTATAATTGTTTCCCAAATCTAGGTGGAAAAATGTACATGGCATGTGGAATGGTTCAATATGTAAACCTAAGTGGGATGATAATCGGCTACACAATCACGGCCTCGATAAGCATGGCGTATGTACGCAAAACCATGAAAAATTCTCGACATGAATTCAGAATTTGATACATATATAAGACGTGATTATATGACTCCATCAATGTTAATCTCAGGGCCATACAAAAATCAGATTGCTTCCATAAGAGAGGACATGAAGCTCCATGCAAATTTTCTCATAATCCATACATGATTGGATTGGGAATCCTTGAAATTTTCTTGTCTCAGATCCCAAACTTCCACAACCTTTCGATGCTCTCCATTGTCGCGGCAATCATGTCATTCGGGTATGCATCGATAGGAATGGGACTTGGCTTAGCAAAAATTCTCTCAGGTAATTGTTTGTATGTTGTGTCGTTGGTAGGAAGAAGTATGCTTTTGGCTCGAAATATGGTTTGTTGGGATTTGCAATACTGAAAATTGCTTTTTAAGTCGTGTTTTACATAAAATAAGAAGGATGAACGTATTGAAAGCATAACCAAATTGTTATAAACTGATCAAATTTTGTACTATTGCATACTTATACTAATGAAGGTTAATGCCTTGGACAGGGCAAGGGAAGAGGACCTCCTTGACAGGATTGGAAGTTGGGATTGATTTATCGGCAGCCGAGAAGACCTGGAGAATGTTCAGAGCGTTCGGGGACATTGCATTTGCTTACACCTATTCTCAAATTCTGATTGAAATTCAAGTAAGATGAACCAACTATCCTTCCTATTTTTTTTTTGTATTCGGGGTCGGGGTCTGAGTCTGAATCTGGAAAGAAACAATGCATTTCTCATCTTTTGGCAGGATACACTGAAATCATCACCGCCCGAAAACAAAGTGATGGAGAAGGCTAACATGATAGGGGTGTCGGTGACAACAACATTCTACATGATGTGTGGTTGCTTTGGCTATGCTGCATTTGGGAACCATGCCCCCGGTAACATGCTGACAGGCTTCGGATTTTTCGAGCCATTCTGGTTGGTTGATTTGGCTAATGTCTGCATTGTGGTGCACCTCGTGGGAGCCTACCAGGTTCAAACCCCCCCCCCCCCCCCCCCCCCAAAAAAAAAAAAAAAATAGTTGACTTTTGTTTTTTGGTAACAAGAAATCATTCCAACCACGTGTACTTACATAGTTTAAAACTCGACAGGTATTCTCGCAGCCAGTTTACAGTGCACTTGAATCTTGGGCTGCCAGGACATGGCCCAAGTCGAAATTTGTAACCGGGGAGTACTCGATTAACATTGGAATTGCCAAGAAATACAGATTTAATATCAACTTCCTCAGGCTGACTTGGAGGACTATATTTGTGATAATGGCAACACTTCTGGCCATGGTATTACCCTTCTTCAACGACGTACTGGCGTTTCTCGGGGCGCTCGGGTACTGGCCATTGACGGTGTATTTCCCAATCCAAATGTACATTGCTCAGAAGAAAATCAGATGGTGGAGCTCAAGGTGGTGTGGACTCCAACTCATAAACTTAGTCTGCTTGCTGGTGGCACTGGCCGCTGCCTGTGGCTCGATCCAAGGGCTGAGTCGGGCTGTCAGTGTCTACAAGCCCTTCAAGGTCGAAGATTAATGCAATTACTTAAATAATATGAGCTATTAGCAAACATAAGCTTGCTTGTTAATCTCCTTTGTTAGTGTTATTAGAGTGCATATATATAAGCTGTTTTTGTCAAGTCTCAAACTCAAAGACTTGGCTTTTTCGAAACAAAATCTATGGATCAATATATATATGCAGCAACAAGGCATTTGATCCAGCAAGTACTTATCAGATTATGGTTGAGAAATGAAGTCCTGTGCATATAGATATGAATAATGCTATCGAGACTTAAAAATTCAATCTAATCAGTTGACGTAATGATGTAATTTCATTGTAATCATTGGATTAACACCAAATTTTAATTTTTACGGAGCTCATAGTCAATCCAATGGCTATAATAAATTAAGTCAACAAATTAAATTCAAATAGCATTAAGTCAATAAATTTTTGCCTGAGTTTCACCCTCTCAGATGAACATTCAACGATTGAAAGAATTGTGAGTCGTAAATTTGCATACCCGTATGTCCTGAGTTTGATTCCTTTTTGACGCATACAATTTAGGTTTAATCAATGTGTATGGTTAACGGTGATTTCTTGTGTTTGATATTTATGAGCAAAGAACATGTGGTTGGAATGATTAGTTGTTATCGAGAAAAATAACAATATGCAGACAATTTGTGTATCATTAAGGAAAATTTTATTTGGACCTAATTGGGACCTAATTCAATATAAACATTGGATCAGTAGTGGACTCTATCTAACGTTGAAACTCATAACTAATCTAATAATTGGAATGAAACCACATCATTAAGTCTTCAAATTAGTCTCTATAACATTGCTCATTGTTATAATAACGGAGAAGTTTTAAAAATTTCGCTTAAATAGTATATTAATTATTTTTCAGTTTCACGAGTATCAAATATGTAATAGTTGACTGTAAATAGCCTCTGGTGCAATAGACACATAATAATTGTTCTAAAGCAACTAAGCTTCTTTGCATAAGCGTATTGACGAACATCAATGACTCTAAGTTCTAACCTAGATACTTGCGAAATATCTCTTCAATAATTCCGTCCATTGCAAAGTAAGGATGAACCTGACTCGAATCTAAATTGCAAGAGAATTCCACATTATAGTGCCAACAAAAGACATAAGAAATGATACAATAGAAGGATGGTGCAATGGCTTCAATATGACTTGGAATAATCCATTAAACAATTAGGACCTCCTTATATAGGCTCTCACTAAAATTGAACAAATGTAACAATCTTAACTTATAAAGAATTAAAACTTGAGAATAGAACCAAAAACCATGGGAGCATGAGCTTGTCTAGGACCACCAAATGTAATGGCAATTCATTGACATCAGCATTTCTTATTAATTTATTATTATTATTATTATTATTATTTATTTTATTTTATTTCTGGTGGTGTTATTTGCATCAGCTTGAAGTATCAACAGCAAACTACAAGTAGTTTAATGCCAAATGCATAAGCTCTGGGAGTCAGGACATGGCAAGAATATTAGGATGGTGTTAGAAGTAAAATGGTGCATACACATGGCAATGGGTGTATAACTAGAGGATTAAAGGTGCTACCCAATTCCCAAAAAAGGCAACGTAATTTGTAACGTGAAAGTGAAAGGGCAGCCTAAAACACGAGCCTACAATCGATGCAAAAATTGGGTAAAATCAGATGTATGTAGAGAGAGGTTTTTTCCGTGAATCCAATCTGCGACATTGTTTACAATTTAGTAACGTTGCCACTACGTCAAGACCCGCCCTCATGCAATCTTCAACATCAAGCATGCAAATGCATTAGGAATTTTACTGATCCTAAATGAACACTAGCATGAGGTTGGTAGTTACTAGTTACTACTCACCTTCAATCTGGAATCTTCCTTGTTCACATCTTGCAGTTTGGGATAAAAATTTCCTTATGTAAGCATTCCAATTCAGTTTCTAACAGTCTTCTTCTTCACTAACTGAAATTTGAAATTCTTTGGCAATGCAAGTTTCTTTTTCAAAGATTTCATCAGTAGGCACAGTGATAGCTCAATGACTAGGTTAGTGAGGCGCTCGCCTAGGTCCCCATGACAATATCACATTGCTAATTTTTACAAAAAAAAAAAAGAAGAAGAAGAATGACATAACGAAAAGTTGAGGAAATATACATATATGTTTTTTGTATATGTATATTTGTATGCGTTTAACAAATGAGATCAACATTCTGTTACATGTCTTTGAAGGGTTACCAGTTGTGTCATTGTTATGCTATGTTATAGAAGAAGATTTCTGATGCATAATGGGTGGCGAGATTTTGGTATTTTATTGAACGTGGTCAATGTCGTTCAATTAGAAAAATTTAGGAGATTTTATTGTATTTTCTAATTTAATTAGGAAATTATTATTATTTTTTGGTTAATTAACATTTTATTTTATTTATTTTTCTAATTTATTTAGAATTCCAGTTTCGTAACTTGTTTAGGGTTTTTGCTATTATATAAACTCTTGTGATCGTTAGTGCAAAACAAGTTTTGATTACTGAATACAATGGAAAGAGTTTTTTTTTTTTCCCAATTCTTCTGGTATTCTTAAGAATTAACAAAGTTATTGAAACTTTTAAGACTGGTATTTTTTTGTGATTCGAAAGACCTGAAATAGAAATTTAAACATATATTTGTACGAAAATTAATGGTTTGATCTCTTTATCCCCTTTCATTCATTATACCCTTATTTCTACCCGCTTTCGTGCATCAATTTTCTCATATAAATGATACCCATTTGCATTAGGTGATGACATATCCATGGAAGGCCTCTATGCTGGCTATATAGGCAGTCTTGGCATTTCTATTTTGAGTCTTTACACAATTTGATTTACTGGTGCTATTAATTTTATTTTTTTCACTGTTCCTCAGAAACAGGGGAAAGAACAAGAAAAAAAAGATACAAACAATGTTAGTTTGTTTCAAATTCAGCTCACTAGATCACAATTGAACTACTTTTATGACTTCTAAGTAGGACCGATAATCGAGCTGAATTTTGTAAACTCAGACCAAGTTTGTTGAGCGCATTTTTCTAAAAGAGGCTAAAAAATTATTCAAGGTCGACTAGTTTTCTAAACGAGTCAAAACGAAACGAGCCCGAGTAGCCTGCCTATGTTACAGATAAACGAATCAAGTTTTGCGAGTTCGAGCGGAGTCTTTTAGACTCGTTTTTCTAAATAAGTATAAAAAATTATTCAAATTTTGTTCATTTTCTAAACAAGTCGAGTTTTACGAGCTCGAGCAAGGCCTTTTAAACTCGTTTTTCTAAATGAGCTTAAAAAACTATTCAAACTTTACTGATTTTCTAAATAAATCGAACTAAACTCAAACCGAACCTGAATAGTTTGATTCAATAATCAACCCGACATCCAAGTCTTCTTTCACTTTCCAAAATTTCATGCTATACTCCATAGAAAGATTCTTTGTTAGTGCATTCTACCACACCAAGATTATATAATTCTTTATCAGTAATGCTCAATATGATTACATCAAATATAAACTAATTAAGTTAAATACCAATCCCAGCTGGGAAATTTTGGATTTCCCCAACCCTACTTGAAAACCTCCCCATCCTTGGATAAGTATAGGTTGGTGGATAATCCACAGCACTAGAAACATGACTAACTGTTTATAATTTTATTTTATTTTTTTTAATTTCTGGTGCTGTTATTGGCATCAGCTTGTTTGTAAAAAGGCAATGTAAAATGGGTAGCAAAGAACTAGACACTGGGCAGCCCGTGCATGGAGCTGCAGTCAGTGTGGTGTTGAGAGAGAATAAGATGTATACGATCTTATTTCCATACAAAAAGATTATTTTCGTGAATATAACTCAGTGATATCTATATCATAATGAAGTAACCTAGTCACTACGTGCGTCACGTCCCACCATGATGGATTCTGCAACATCAAGCATGCAAATGCATCTAGTCTCTTATACTAGAAGCAGACTGCGAATTCATATTGGAAGCCTTTTCACAATTGTTTTACTGGTTTGACTACTGACAAGGATTAAGCTTTTTTTTCTATGTTCCACAGAAAAAGAACAAAGAAACAAGAGAAAACAGATACAAAGAGTCGTGTTTGTTTCAAATTCTGTTCATAATTAGATCCCAATTGGACTGCTTTTATGACTTCCAAGTCTTCTTTCACTTTCCAAATTTTCATGCTGTACTTCATTGAAATATTCATTGTTAGTGCATTCTACCACGCCAAGATTATACAATCTTTTATCACTAATGCTCAATATGATTACATTGGCTATAAGCCAATTAAGTTGCAGGTAAGACTATGATACCGAAAGATGTACAACGTTTAAGAATCAAGTTACTTCACAAAAAGTTCTATCGATCACAAAATATTATAATCAATTATGAAAAATATAACTTCTAAATGTTAAGTTATATGAAAATTTTTCATCTTTTAAAAGTTGTTCATGATCGATCACGACATTTGTGATCGATATATCCTCAATTGCATACCAATCCCAACTAGGAAATTAAGGATTTTCCCCACCCTAAACCCCCTATCCTTGGCCAAGTATAGGTTGGTGGATAATCCATAGCACCAAAAAACAGACTACCTTTTTAAAGTAATACTATTTAAGCCTAAAAAATTGATTTAATTTGTTAATCTAATGATGTTGTAATGACAAGGTCCAATAACATTGTTGTAACTGTAACTCTTGAACGTCTTCATTGACACTCTATCACTTGACACATCATTATGTCAGCAAATCAAATAATTTTTTAGATTTCAATAACATTACTCGCCTTTTGCAAAAAAGGGAGTAGATGGTTCTCAGGATTTAAAGCTTTTATTTCACTTTCTAGGTTTACATTATACATTAATTTTCAAAGTATTCAGTTTATTTTTGGTCAAAAGCAGAAGCTACTCTTTTGCTAATGGTTATCATTGCATTAGATTCAATCAGGTCACCTACCATTAACAAGCTTACTGTTTTTTTTCCCCCCTGTTTAGCAGACAATCAGTTTAATAATGTCCTTTTGACTCGTGTCTACAATGCAAACTTCTGTAAAACTCAGCCGCAAACTACGCTTATTGTGTTAGTCTTAAGTC